TTTCGCAAACTTTGGAAAGGAATTACGGCTGCCTGCAGATCTGATCACCGGGATACCACCTGATGCCCCACGCAGTATAACCGATTATGCAAATGACTTTCGAAACTAAATGAATGACATTTATGAGCACGTCAGACAATCTGACCTGCAAATGTCCGAAACAAAAGGGTACCGCATGACAGCAAAAGGTTCGACGAAGGTTCACTAGTGTGGTTGCACAATCTAGTCCGCAGCAAAGGGAAATCTACTAAGATTCAAGCTAAATGGGACGGCCCGTACCGGATTGTGACCAGGATCAACGATGTAACCTACCGGATATAGAAAGGCGCAAGAGGGACTCCAAAGATCGTCCATGTGGATCGCCTGGCGCGTTATTATGGGGCCGATAATGCTCGAGACGAGTGTTTAGGAAGGGGATTTCATATATGTTATGGTAACAGAGCGAGAAGAGCTTTCCAGAAAATGATATGACTAATCTTTCAACCAACAGCGCCATCCGGTATCGAATTGAAGAACTAAGCTTTCTAGAAGCCCCACACTCGAACTTACGACGCCTGGTTGGTTGGCGCGCGTATTTACTTGAATATTCTGGATGTTTCGGAGGAAAAAGGTGTATTTAAAGGCGCTGCAATATGAGATCGGGGCAGTACTGAATTTGGCGAGACAAGCGAAGTTTCGGAGCGAAATAAAGTGAATCAGTGTGATTAATTATTAGTGTCTTTTAGGTTTTAATTACTGTAAAGTGAATTAAAGTGTTAATTTTGGTAATTTAATCGGCAGTTTTTATTGTCACGAACACTAAGCTCGTAACAATATTTTTACTTTAAATGCGATGTGGTAAGAGTTTGTTTAATAGCACTTATCTGTTTTATATACAAACGGAGTAAAGATTTCAAGGAAAAAATTAAAGTATAAGCCTTTATATGGTCTACGGCTGAGTATAGGCATTCTCATATTTTAGAGAGGTTTTTTTGTGGGGCATGGTAGATAGGTTCATCGCACTGCCTTTGACGTGCTGTGCTGACGCATTGGTTCTCTTTACTTAAATTGAACGTGTAGTGGCTGTGTAAGTATATCTACTACCTCATTTCATCCAGTGGGTTTCTCAAGTGGCCACAGAGGGAAATTTATGAGCATATGAGCAGCAGCATCACCGTAACAAGGACTAAAATTAGTAATTGTGTTTGCCAACCCGCTCGCCAGTTATGGCAAATATCCCTTCTATGAGGCAATCTATGGGGGAGGCCTATGTTCTGCAGTAGACTTTAATAGGCTATAGCTAAGAAAATTCTTACAATTAGACAAAATCCTTATTGTATAAAAGAAATATTTTTTTTAAATTTCTTTACAAATATGTAGAGTTCATGATATTAATTTTTTAAATCAAATATAATATTATTTAATTAGCCATAGATATATTTTATTTACCGACAGGAGTTTTTTATATCCTCACTAATTTTTCAGTACACTCACTCAATCGTTTGTTTTTGTATATGGTGGGTAAATCTTTTTTTTTACCAATTACGTCAGGTCTTTACAATTAAATTCAAATATTTATTTTACTATGATTATATAGTATTCTTCATGATGTTGAGATGTTGAGCACTTCATAATGTATATGTACATGTAAATGTGTATGTATATACGCATGTATTGATATATAGACTTATTATACACGGTGTTATTATTTCCAACTAATAACTCTTATTATACTGCTTCCTTCCCCACTCACTTCTTTAAATGTTTCTTTAATTTTTAACTTGCAAACAGCCATATTAAACATATTATAGACTAACTTTGAGAGATTAAAAAAAAGTGCTATAGTTGTAGCACGAATGGGTTGGCTTGACCGGGGAAGAACCATGCTCTCACAGAATAACAGCGTAAAATAGTAGTGTTACGAGCTTGAGGTTCGTGGCAATAAAAACTGCCGATTGAATTACCAAAATTTACACTTTAATTCACTTTATGCTAAGTAAAACTTAAAAGACTAACAATTAACCACACTGATTAACTTTATTAAGCTCAGAAGCTTCGCTTGTCTCGCCAAATTCTATACTGCCCCGATCGCGTATTGCAGCGCCTTTAAATACACCTTTTTCATCGAGACATCCAGAATATTCAAGTAAATACGAGCGCCAACCGACCAGGCGTCGAAAGTTCGAGTGTGGGGCTTCTAGAAAGCTTAGTTCTTCAATTAGATACTAGACTGCGCTGTAGATTGAAAGATTAGTCATGGCATTTTCTGGAAAGCTTTCCTCGCTCTGTTACCCGACACTAGATGGCGCTAGTACCAGACGTTAAATTAGGCGCGCAACAATATTTTAAGAAAGTTAACATAGGTTATATGAGCAAATTAGTCTATAAGTAGTATAAACATAAGCAGCTAACACAACCTGTTTTTTTGCATCGCCGTTATCGGATAATAGTTAAAAGAAAGCACCTCCCGTATCTCTTTTCCGAAGGTAGCGTGAAGGTCATTCATGACGAGCATCTGCTCTTCCAACCGATGGGCCTGTTCCTCTTGTCAGCGGGCCTGTTCATCCTGTCCGCCCCGCAGCTGCTCTTCCAACCAACGGACCTGTTCCTCCTGTCGGCGGATCTGTTCCTCCTGTCGGCGGGCCTGTTCATCCTGTCCGCCCCGCAGCTGCTTTTCCAAACGACGGATCTGTTCCTCTTGTCCGCTCTGCAGCTGCTCTTTCAACTGACGGACCTGTTCCTCCTGTCGGCGAGCCTGTTCCTGCAGCATCACCATCAGAGTACCTAAGTCAGGTGCTGCAGATGTAGGAGCTACTAACGGGCATGCAGCCGGCGGCTGACCCTCCGACGTCCGCGGCGTTGCACCACCAAATCCTCCGTTTCCTGCTTAGGTAAAATCTGCATGATTTTATCCCACTTCTGTCGTAAATTGTTACGAGCTTGAGATTCATGACAATAAAAACTGCCGATTGAATTACCAAAATGTACACTTTAATTGACTTTACACTAATTAAAACTTAAAACGTTAATAATTAACCACACTGATTCACTTTATTTCGCTCCGAAGCTTCGCTTGTCTCGCCAAATTCAATACTGGAGGGGGGGTTTAAATACACTTTTACACCAAAACATCCAGAATATTCCCGTAGATACGGGCGTCGACCGACCAGACGCAGAGGAAGCCGCGCCGTCCGCCGTGTCGAAAGCATCATTTTTATTGAGCTCCGTTTTCAAAAATTCGGAAAAGTGCGTTTAATTTTTACTACTGTGCTGTGTTATACACCAAGTTGCGCGGAAAAGTGTTAGCTCTGATCTGTGCATAGTTTTTGCAAGTACAGGATTTTGCCTGAGTGAATTTTGTCGGAAAAACTGCAAATAACCTCAAAAACAGGTAAAATTTTATCATATATCTGCGAACGCTGCAAAATCTAGATCATTAACCTACTAACTTTTTTAGCGCATCATTTGTCATTTTATTAGCTGCACATTTTATAATCTGTTCCGGATTTTTCAGTGAAAAACCAAGGAGTTACAGCGTTTTTTCTCAAAAACCACGTGGCACGTGGTTTGAGAAATAAACACGTCCGGCTAATTTACAGAGTGTACCTAGACGCGTTGTACAACGCCCTTTCAGACGACACCTCAATTGTTTGGATCGGTTCACCCTTGCGCTTTTCATTGATGAAAAACCTTTTATGTCAAAAAATTGTCATATTTAACCTCCTATAGCTGTCAATATAAATCAATGACATATTCTTTTTATTTTTGGTTTATATAAAGAATATTAAATACTACCTTTCTGAAATTTTTTTAGTTTTTTCGGTCTAGTAATTAAAGAGATATTTCAGTTGATATTAAATTACGCTTTCATATGGTCCCACTTCTGGGTAAAACTCTCCCACTTTCTTTAAGTCATAACAGAGGTACATTAATAATTTTTAAGATATCGTTTTTTCCAATATTTATCACTCACCACTCACAAACTCCCAAGTTTAAACCTATATTTCATGAATAATTATTAAATAATATAATTACAAAATGTTTTTATTAAAAAGGTGTAGGGGGTGAAAAGACCTTTTAAACGAGCCCAATCTCGGTAGGTCTGGCATGAGTGGTTTCCGAGATAGAAAATTTCAGTATTTATCGACGCCATACTGAATTTTTTTAAACCATTATTACTTTAAAACCACTGGCACCAATATACCAGTGTATAGATTCGTTAGAATTGTCGTTCTGAGTGCAACTCACTAAATGCCAAAAAATATTAAAAAAGCAACATTTTTCTCGCGAAACCATGCTCATCACATAGATAAGAGAAAAACGAGTCTGGCAAGCACTGTTAAGTCTTTAAATCACATTTTGGCAGCGGTTTGAAAATATTGGTCGGCCATCTCGAAAATATTTGGAGAGCTGAAACTTCTAAACCTCTTAAGAAAGGATAGCCGTCCTTGGGCTTGTTCTTTTTGTCAATGTGAAAAAAGAAGGGAAAAAAATGTCAGATAAATCAAAGAAATTCGCATCCAGTCGTTCTGAAAAGTACATAGTACCCAATAAAAGACCAACATGTACAGCAAAAAGTGCAAAAAAGACAAGCCGGGTACCATTAATCAATGACCCTGTGGAGGAGTCAGCTCATCAACACCCGAGTGCACCACCACTGGAAATCTCTGGAGGCGGCACAGGGGAGCAACATTCGGAATCTTAAACGGGGGATCAGCACGAGAAGTCTGAAATAGAGCCAGCCTCAAGCTTCTTCACGTCGCCAAAACTTGGTGATGCAACGTCATCTCCAGTTCTCTCTAGAACTGGATCTAGCCTGCTTAGAATACGTACGCAGATACGTCAGACAAAAGCAGCAGAAGCTCAAGAAACTCTTAAAGCCACGTCTGAGGCTAAGGACACAGGCGGATCTGACGTTGACAGTGGCGAGACCAACATCTCCCTCGACGCCTCCAAAAGGTCAATTAGTGGCAGCCGTATGCTGATAAATGAGTTGCCGAGACACGCAAATGAAATCTTACAAAGAGCCAAAGCAGAATTAGTAAAGCCGGGCAACTTAAAGAAGGAAATTCGCGAGAGTGTAGTTGCGGGTCTGCACACGTTGTACGAGATGATCCTTAAGTTGTCTGACTCACGCATGCTACACATGCTCGAATCCAGTAAGCATAAGGCGCATGTCTCCAGAGAATCAGAAAGGCTCACCCAAAGACATGCCCGATTCATGCATTAAGCTCTAGGTTAGTATGCCACACTGAAAGAGAGCATAGAGAAGCTCCACAAGGAAACTGAGTCAACCAGACTTATTGTCTCATACGATCTTTGTGAGGCAGTTTCAGCAACGAAGAGAGAAACAAACAACAAATTTTAGAAACGAAACAAGCTAAGGTTTAAACTTGACAATTCAGCTGCAGATTATCTCGGAAGAGGTAAAGTTACTTCGAGACAATATGAGCTCATTTAGAAAATCACCGAATGCAACCCAAGATCAATGGAATTATCTTTCAGAGGAATACAAAGAGCTCCGGCGCAACATACAGGAGATATACCAATAGAGAACGATATGAATTACCTACCAATATACCAGTGAATATAGATGATGCAAATGTTGCTGCCGAGAGATTGCAAGAGGAAATCACGGACTCCAAACTTTTGTTAATCTCAGAAATATCTGAGTTGAAACAAGAAGTAAGCAGAATATCTCTAGGGATCCGAAGCCCATCCTCGGTTGTCTCGAGCTCCGCATTCCCCTCGGTACAGGCCAGCTTGGAGGAACTGAGGAGGGAAATGAAGGAGTTGAAAGACACTGCAGTTGACTCGACATCACCTATCAGACTAGCGATAGAGGGCCTTAGAAGCGATCTTAAGCATAAATCACAGGTCGAAGAGAGAGAGAGAGTCAAGAAAAAAAAATGGCACAGAATCAACTCAGGCAACAGGACTCACTAATGCCGCAACGCAAAAAGCTTCCACGCACGTTTTCGGAGGTGGTAACAAAGCCAGTTTGGCTTTGTTACTTGTTTTGTCCAATTATAGTGGAATCTATCGACCCCAGAAGTACAAGCGATGACATTATGAAGCAAGTTAAGAATGGGATCGATGTAGTCGAATTAGGTATTGGCATCAACCATATTAAGAAAGCCAAGAACCAGAAGGTTCTAATCGGTTGCGAGTCTGAAGGAGATAGAAATATTCTCCAAGATCGACTTAAGCACACAAATGACAACTTAACAGTGTACAGGCCAGCCACCAGAAACCCACTTTTCCGTCTTACAGGAGTTGTCTTCGACTTGTCAAATGGTAAGATCGAAGAAGCTATAATAAAACAGAACACCACACTTCTAAGAGATATTACGGCAGCAGAAAAGCAGGTGAAAGTTATCAGAAGAATGAAGAGTCGCTCGCAGTCACAAGCTCCACGTGTAATATTATCTTGGAAGTAAGCCCGCAGATCTGGGCAGGGTTACATAATCAGAGAGTGAGAATAAGATTTCAAATAATTCCAGCCACTGACCAATCACCGGTAATCCAGTGCTATCGATGCTTAGGCTATTCTCACTTAGCACGGGAATGTAAAGCACAAAAAGTGAACTGTGGTTACTGTGCTGAGGAACACGACACAAGGGAGTGCAATAATAGGAACAAGGCAAAATGTATAAAATGCATACACAGAAAGGTTAATGACCAAAGTTGCGACCGTCCTGCCTACAGCCCTGAGTGCTTAGAGTGGAGGAAATGGGGCAGGATTTCAAGAGCAACTGTATCGTATTGCTAAAGACACCGACGTTTCCCCACAAGAGTCAAAAAGTACGAAGGACGTAGGAATAAAAATTGCACAGATAAATCTTGGAAGAGGGCGAGCTGCATTTAAGGAATGTCTGCAATCAGCTGTCACAAAGGGCATTTCCATTCTTTTGGTACAGGAGCCAAAAGGTCACATTACCTGCCAACATAAGGTAATACAGAAAATGTCTAGCAATGTTCAAATAAGCGGGTGTTGTCTTGTTCAATATTAAGTCTGAGACATTGTTTTTATAGACTGAGCGTTCTTGATAAGAAGGGCAGGCGTTGCCGGCTCTTTAGAAAGGAGTAAGCTCTTTTCTTGAAGGTCCCCAGGTCGTATCGGTCCGGAAAAATCGCCGGTGGTAAACTATTCCACAGAGAGGTTGTACGTGGAAGAAAACTCCTTGTGAAACTTAAAGTGGTGGACCGCCAAGCATCCAGATGGTGTGGATGGTATCGGGACGTTTGACGTGTAGTGCGTTCACGAAATTTGGCGGCTGGGATTAATCCGAACAATTCCTCAGAGCACTCCCCGTGGTAGATGCGATAAAATACGCAAAGAGATGCAACATCTCTTCGCAGCGCCAGTGAATCGAGCCGATCGGAAAGCACTCGGTCGTCGACGATTCGAGCCGCTCTGCGCTGGATGCGGTTAAGTGGAAGAAGCTGGTACTGGGGAGCCCCAGCCCAGAGATGGGAACAGTATTTCATGTGCGGCCGAACCTGCGCCTTGTAAAGTTGCAGGCGGTGTGCCGGCATGAAATACTGTCCCGCTCTGCTGAGCACGCCAAGCTTTTTAGAGGCCAATTTGGCCTTCCCTTCCAAGTGACCACGAAACTGCACGTCACTCGATATGTCGACGCCGAGGATTCCGATACTGGCTGAGGCAACAAGGGGGAGTGCCTTGAAACTGATCGACTGGGACACGACAAAGGGGTTTTTTTTAGCGGTTAACGCGCAAACTTGTGTCTTCTGGGGGTTAAACTGGACTAGATTTAGTCGCCCCCCAATTCGAGACTCTGTCCAGCAGAGACTCGACTTCAGACACAAGTTTGTCCCGGCACTCGGAGACGTTTTCCCGAGAAATATTGGCTCGGCCGGTGTAAAGAGCATCACCAGTGCTGTCATCTGCATAGCAATGAATGTTACGGGTATGCAACATGTCATTGATATGCAGAAGAAACAGCGTTGGCGATAGCATGCAGCCCTGTGGAACACCAGCATTAAATGAAGACAATATCATATTTGGAGGAGACATCAATGCGAAGAGCCCCTGGTGGGGTTGCAATGTGGAGGATAGGAGGGGAGTAGTTAGGGCAGAAGCGTTAGGCCATCTGGGCTTACACATATTAAATACAGTGAATACGCCAACTTTCTCTGTATACAGAGAAGAGAGAAACTACACCAGAATTGTTGACATCACTGCATGCTCGAGCAATCTCTTGCGAAAAATCTCCAACTGGAAAGTATATCCAGAATTTTTTACACTGTCTGACCACAGAGCCTTAATATTTAACCTAAATTATTTAAGCACAGCGAAAGAAAATACACTACGACAATCCACACGTATTTACAATGCATCTAAAGCAGAGTGGAGCAAATTTATTCACACACTAAGACAAGAACTAAATTACCACAATATCACCGAGGAAACCGTTTCTAGAATTATAGAATCAGATCCATTAGAGAATCTTGTAAGATTATACACCATATGTGTGAAAGAATCTTGTGAAAAGACGATCTCTAAACTGTCCAAGAAAATATTTAAAAAGGCACCATGGTGGACGGAAGAACTCAACAGAAAGAAAAGAGATGTAATTCAGAAAAGAAGGAAAATCAGATAGGCAAAGCAAAGAAGGACACAAATAGTAATAGAAGAATATGTTTTAGCCAAAGCGGAATTTAAAGATCTCCTAACGGAAACGATGACAGCTAGATGGAAGGAATTTTGTGCAAGGCAAGATAAAGAAAACATCTGGCAGGGCATTTACAGGATCATACGGAAATCAGCCAAAACACCAGAAGACACTCTACTGAGAATGACGTCGCAAAGCTCTGTAAAACCACTCCAGGGGAATCAGCGAAATTGTTGGCTGATACTTTCTACCTAACCTATGATATCACAAAAGATGGACACGATCACACTGAGATGAAAAATATTTCCACAGCCATCAGAAAAGACCTGTGTATTGAACTGCACAAAGACAACATAATACTGTTCACTATCACAAAAATAGAGAATGTATTTAACAGCATGAGTCCCCAGGGGAGGATGGTTTAACGGCGGATATATGTGAGAAGTCATATGAAGCGGCACCGCAAGTACTTATAGCTATTTACAATAAATGCCTGTCTTTTGGATATTTCCCCCAGACTTGGAAAGGTGCGGTAATCAAAATTATCCCAAAACCCCACAAAGAAAATTACACTCTTCCTAAATCTTATTGGCCTATCGGTCTTCTACCAGTCTTTGGGAAAGTTCTGGAAAAGATGTTCGCAAACCGAATGTCATGGCAACTAGGACGAGAAAATAAGATGAACAACAGACAGTATGCCTATGTAACACAAAGGGGAACCGAGAATGCCCTGTATGATGCCATGAAAATTATAGAAAAAGCATAAAAGACAAAGAAATAGTTGTCATAGTATACTTAGACATCGAAAGGGCTTTTGACAACGCTTGATGGCCTGCTATAATAAAGTAAATCAGCAACAAACAATTAGATAAAACTATCCAAAGACTTATAAGTAGCTACCTGTCTGAGAGGCATATAAACTCAGATACGCAGGCACTGAGATCAGTGATCAGTGACTGAGATCAGATCAGAGACAAGCAAAGGATGCATTCAGGGTTCAATCTGTGGCCCATTATTGTGGAATCTACAGCTTGACTCCCTACTTTAGGAAATAGATGATTTCAAAATTCACATACAGGCATATGCTGATGATATAGTAATAGCAAAGGGGAAAACAGCAAAGGACTTAGAGATAGAGCCAAATCCAGCACTAAATCACATTCTAAACTGGGGCAAAAAGAGGAAAATGAAATTAGCTGCCCATAAAACACAAGCAATTATCACTACTAAAAAGATAAAGTATTTTTACGAGCTTGAGGTTCGTGACAATAAAAATAGCCGATAGAATTACCAAAATTAACTCTTTAATTCACTTTACACTAATTAAAACTTAGAACACTTATAATTAACCACACTGATTCACTTTATTTCGCTCCGAAGCTTCGCTTATCTCGCCAAATTCAATACTTCCCCGATCGCATTTTGCAGCGCCTTTAAATACACATTATCACCAAAACATCCAGAATATTCAAGGAAATACGTGCATCAATCGTCAAGGCGCCGAAAGTTCGAGTGTCGGGCTTCTAGAAGCTTAGTTTATATTGTTTATTTATTTAATCTTCATTATACACCTTATATACTAAGGGATATAAAGGGCGGACTTAATGCCTTATGGCATTCTCTGCCAGTCAACCCTGGATGATTTGAGAAACTGTGGCAGGTGTAATCAATCACTTCATAAATAAATAATAATGATATAAAACAAAATAAAATGCAAATGAATAGAATAGATATACAGTTAGTAAAATATACATACTTGCTTAATATATAATATATGATAAATAATAATTATATAAACGGGTACTTCTATACAAAACTATAAGTAAATAAAATATTATGAGACAAAAATAAAATAACACAATGCATATTAAAATACATTATACAAAATATTACTTATAAAGTGAAAGAGAAGAAAAAAACACAAAAATACACCGGATAGTCAGGTGGTATTATTCTTACGACAGAATTATCGAACTAGTCTTTTAAATTAATTCTTGTTATTAGTTTTCTTGATATAAACAGGCAAGTCATTCCAGAGCAGTATAGACTGCACAGTAAAAGAGGAATTATAGAAACCACTCCTATGTGGTGGAACATGAATTTTAAGACAATTTTGGGAACGATGAACTCTATTGTTAGTAGAATACAAATATTGAAAGTTATCCTTAAGATAAGAGGGAGAATTGGGGTCATTTAAAATTGAATGTAGTACTTGCAAAGTTCGGGAGCTACTCCTTCGACGAATAGATAGCCATTTAAGCTTAGATCGGTACTAGGAAATATGGTCATACTTACGTAAGCCGAAAATGA